GGAGGTAACGGGGAGATGAGCTGTGCCAGTGGCCACCAGCCACAGGGGGGGGTCACCCACACCTGGAGCCTGGCTGTCCTGCTCCCATTCCCGCAGCACCCCTGCTCCCATCCCTGCAGCACCCCTGCTCCCAGCTCCGCAGCACCCCTGCTCCCAGCCTTGCGCTGAACGTGTCATGTTGTCCAGCCTGATCACTGTAGCATGGCAGGGCTGGCAAAGGCGTCTCTGAGTGGTGGCATTTCTCACTCGGGGATCTCTTGGCTGCTGCCATAATACAGCTGCTCCCATTCCCGCAGCACCCCTGCTCCCATCCCTGCAGCACCCCTGCTCCCAGCTCCGCAGCACCCCTGCTCCCAGCCTTGCGCTGAACGTGTCATGTTGTCCAGCCTGATCACTGTAGCATGGCAGGGCTGGCAAAGGCGTCTCTGAGTGGTGGCATTTCTCACTCGGGGATCTCTTGGCTGCTGCCATAATACAGCTGCCCATAAGGGGTGTGTGGCGAGCAGCAACAAGGCAAATTCCCGAGAGACTCCCAGCCCCTCATTCCCTTTTCCAGTCCACGGTGGTGCAGCGAGCGAAGCCAGGATCAAGGCAACCATGGGGTCAGGGTCCCTGAGCACCTGGCAAGGAGCAGGAAATGTAACTAACTAACCCGTCCTGCCAGGACAAGCGCTGCAGCCAGCAGCTCAGCTGCACCAGTCGGGAGCTGGGAGGAGGCAGGAAAAGTGGCTGTTGCAGGTGGATGGCACAGGGCAGCGCTGCCCACTGAGCTCTCAGATAGTCCCTCAAAAGGTTTGCACTGTTTTTGCCAGCCTCCCTGAGCCCAGCCCTGTTTGAGCTTGAGACAGGACCTGTGCGGTGCCCCCGTGGCTCAGCCCTGTTATAACCCAGACCTCAGCAGCCCAGGTTTGTGAGTGCACATCTGTTCCTCTAGCGAGCAGGGACAGCGGGGCCTGATAGGAGATTTAGGTGAAGAGGAGGATGAAAGTGAAGATTTTAGGTGAAGGATTTTAGATGAAGAGGTGATCACGTGAGAGGCAAAGAAACAGAAAGGCCAGCTAGCTGGAAAGCAGCCAGACCTAGAAGGCCAGGACTATGGACCACAGCAAACTTCTGGCAGAGCATCTCTGCCTGTGGGGCCCAGACACGGCATCGAGCAGGAGCTCGTGCCTGTCCCACCAAACTTGAGTTACTGACCTGCTCTCTGGCAGCTTCAGTTTGGGCAGGTGGCCCTCTCCGACATAAAGCCCAGGCAGGAGTAACACATGCTGGGGACTGCTCCCCAAAACCAGCTTGAATTGGCCACTCCGTTTTCCATGGGAAAAAATTCCTGTGGCTTGATCGATCTGCCCAGCCTGCACTGCTGTCCTTCTGGAACAGCGAATGCTCCCTGGTCCATGTCGGTTACTGGTGTGGCCACAGCCAGCCTGCACGAAGCCACTGCCACTCGCAGTGTATCCTCAGAAACACAGGAGGGCTGGAGGCATGGGTGCAACATCCTGCATAGACCCCGAGGAGCAGCTCTTGATGCGGGTGCCTGGTGCAGGTGCCCACCACCCTGCAGCTGGGCTGGCTGGCGCTGAAACGCTGCCTGCCTGCCCTCGCAGCAGGCAGGGGTCTCACCCACTTCCCTGCCCCAGCTGGGAGGATGCCCTGTGTCACGCAAGAGCTCCCGGGGGGCTGGAGGTGGGGATCTGGGAGAGGAAGAGGAAGGCCCTCTGCAAGCTGACCCTGTATGACAACTGCCCTATAAGGGAGGACAGGAAGGTGACAACCTGCTCCCTTTGCACCCACCCTGTCTGTTTGAGTTTCCCCCCAGCTCTCCGTGCTCCTCCTTTACTTCTTCAGACGGCTGCTCTCAGTCCTGGCTGTCCTGCTCCTCTTTCCCCTTTCATCCGGGCCCACACCAAACTGACAGCTCATGTGTTTTTTACACCTGTTTGTGTTTTTGCTTTTTTTAAACTCTGCAAGGGTAATTAATTAAGACATTTGAACTTCTGGGGAGTCTCAGTGTAGAGTTCCTCCCCAGCACAGAGAGCCCATCTCAGACAGCAACTCTCTTCCCAGGGATGGGCCGACTGCAACGGGAAGAGTCTCCTGCATGCTCCAAGTTCCCTTCCAAGCAACATCACTGGTTTGGACCTCTCCTTCAACTCCTTGGTCATGCCCAGTCATGGGACTCTCTTGATGCGTTTCCACTCCCTGCGCTCCCTCAACCTCTCTAGCAATGCCCTGCTGACACTGAGCCCAGCCATCTTCTCTAACCTCGGGGCACTGCACCTGCTGGACCTGAGCAGCTGCAGCATCGCCTTCCTCCACACGGACGCTTTCAAGGGCTTGGGAAACTTGCACACGCTGCTGCTGAGAAACAACAGCCTGCAAGAGCTTGAGGTCCCTTTCTTCCTGCCGCTGAAGGCTCTTTTCCACCTGGACCTGCAGCATAATGCGCTGGTCTCTGTTGACGCTTTGAGCCTGCAGCTGATGGAGGCAGTCCCGCAGGTCCGGCTGGAAGGGAACCCTTGGGTCTGTGACTGCACTGCGCACCCTCTGCAGCAGTGGCTACAGCGCCGGCAAGGTGAGCGGATGGGGCGAGTGGCGGAAGAGGTGTTGGACAGGAGGAACCCTGCGTGCAGGGGTCCCACTCGATCCTTTTGCTTTAGCCCCTGGACAGTCTCTGAGGTGGCTCTCCAGGGACCTCTCCCACCCTGTTGAGGGGCACAGAACTGAAACGTGTCAGTTCTTTGCTTGCAGTTACACACAACGCCAAAGATTCCTAGGAATAAGACAGGATAATTTAGCCACTTTGCTGGGAAAGAGGCTGCACGTACAGTTCATCGCTTAAATCTACCTTCGTGTATCTACATGGGGTGACCACATTTTCAAGAGCTGCTGAGCACTTGGCAGCTCCTCCTGTGGAGCCAGATCAGGCTCCAATTCTCTGAGCTCGGCTCCCAGGTAAGAGCAGCCCTGCGATGGTGGAGTTTCTATCACTATCCATGAATTTGGTATTATCTGGTTAAAAGGAGCCCGCTAATCACGGTCACATACTTGCACAGTTCCTTGGTCAGGGAATTTTTGTCTTTGGTTGTCCCTTACAACCTGCTGTGAGGCTGGAGGACAGAGCCAGGAGCCTCTTGAGATGCATCCCATCAAGCCGAGAGCAAGAGGAGATTGTCTTCTCGAAACTGGGGAGAGGATGGGTGAAGACCCCCTGTCCCACCTTAGCCCGTGTGTCTCCCAGCTCTGCAGGTGACCTGTGCGACGCCCCCGGGGCTGCAGGGCCGGGAGGTCGCAGCTCTGGATTCCCAGGACCTGGGCTGCCGGATGAAGCAGCGGTTTCCTCGAGGACTCAGCACGGCCCAGCAGATCACAGTGACCCACAGCAATGGTAAGTCGTGCAGCTATGGAGGTGTCCCTAAGGAAGGTGGCCTCCAGCGGTGGCTTGGTGGGGAGGGTGGCCACCACCTGGAGGTGTTTGCTGGCTTTGCAACAGAAAAGTTAGCAGATGCCACAGGGCCACATGCAGCGCAGACCACATGGTAGTGGGCACCAATATCAGACAGCCATTCAGCAGTTTTCCTCGCAGTGTTCGTGCACCCTCGGTAGCTAGCCCTTGGTGAAGAGCATTTCTATTGCTCCTAACATAAGCCATCCAGTGCTGGCTGCACACCGCAGGCATTCACGGGGCTGGCTGCTGAGGAGCACCGGGTATGCCACTGCCATCCCCTGACGTGCCTTTCCTGTGCCGCAGCCACCACACTGCCCGCCAGGAAGGGGGGAAGGAGCTGGCCGTACCTGGTGGGCTTCCTGGTGGCAGCAATTGGCATCTCCATCCTGATCACACTGGCTGCCAAGTGCAAGCTCTTCCACAAGAACCTTGCCAGCTACCGCCACCGGCCACTGCCTGAAACCAGCTCCATTGGAGGCGGCCCCATGGAGGACGGCACCGGCTGGGACAGGGGCTCCTCAGACTGGGGGGCCAGCGAGAGGCACCCTGTGCCCGGTGCCGCTGACCTGCAAGCTGAGGATGACGACGGCTTCATTGAGGACAACTACATCCAGCCAAGCGAAGGAAGAGGAGCAGGAGTCACACCTCTCCATCTGAGCCTGCAGCCCAGCTACCACTGCTGTGGCTCCTCGCCGTCTCCCCCACCTCCATCCCCTTCTTGCCTCATCCCACCTGCCCTTGGCTTTTGGCACCACGTGGCTGGGGGCAGGAGGAAAGGAGCGGAGAGGAGGTGGAGAAGGGGTGGGCTGGAAACTGGGAGGGAGGCTGAAGGCAGCCGGTCCCACTGTGCCCCAGCGTGATGCCAGCGGGGCTGCACCGGCACGAGGACACCAGACCTGCTGCTGCTCTCCTGGCCCTGCTTGGATGCTGAGGGTGAAGGAAATGGCGCTGATCACATCTGGGCAACCTGATGAGGTGGAAAGAGGAGCCTGCCCTGGCCCAGTCTTGGGCACCAGCCCCACTGCCCTACGGTGACGGACACAGCCCTGCTTGTCCTACAATGCGTTGTCACTCCAGGGTGTGATTAAAGTGTGATTTAACCCTGCCTCTGCCTGCCGTGGTTTGTTGGCGCTCTTGCAGCAGTCGTGCTGG